GTGGATACATAGACAACACCATGTCCCTAGTAAGCTTCTAGTTGACTAGCTCGTTGATCAATAGATGGTTACAGTTTCCTGACCATGGACATTGGATGTCGTTGATAACGGGATCACATCATTAGGAGAATGATGTGATGGACAGGACCCAATCCTAAGCCTAGCACAAAGATCGTGTAGTTCGTATGCTAAAGCTTTTCTAATGTCAAGTATCTTTTCCTTAGACCATGAGATTGTGCAACTCCCGGATACCGTAGGAATGCTTTGGGTGTACCAAACGTCACAACGTAACTGGGTGGCTATAAAGGTACACTACAGGTATCTCCGAAAGTGTCTGTTGGGTTGGCACGAATCGAGACTGGGATTTGTCACTCCGGTTGACGGAGAGGTATCTCTGGGCCCACTCGGTAGGACATCATCATAATGTGCACAATGTGACCAAGGGGTTGATCACGGGATGATGTGTTACGGAACGAGTAAAGAGACTTGCCGATAACAAGATTGAACAAGATATCAGGATACCAACGATCAAATCTCGGGCAAGTACAATACCGTTAGACAAAGGGAATTGTATACGGGATCGATTGAGTCCTTGACATCGTGGTTCATCCGATGAGATCATCGTGGAACATATGGGAGCCAACATGGGTATCCAGATCCCGCTGTAGGTTATTGACCGGAGAACGTCTCGGTCATGTCTGCATGATTCCCGAACCCGTAGGGTCTACACACTTAAGGTTCGATGACGCTAGGGTTATAAAGGAAGTTTGCATGTGGTTACTGAATGTTGTTCGGAGTCCCGGATGATATCCCGGACGTCACGAGGAGTTCCGGAATGGTCCGCAGGTAAAGATTTATATATGGGAAGTCCTGTTTTGGTCACCGGAAAAGTTTCGAGTTTTATCGGTAACGTACCGGGACCACCGGGAGGGTCCCGGGGGTCCACCAAGTGGGGCCACTGGCCCCAGAGGGCTGCATGGGCCAAGTGTGGGAGGGGACCAGCCCTAGGTGGGCTGGTGCGCCCCCCCACAAGGGCCCAAGGCGCCTAGGGTTGTGGGAGGGGGCGCACCCACCTAACTTGGGGGGCAAGTTTCCCCTCTCCCCCCCCCTTGGCCGCCACCCTAGATGGGATTGGGCTGGCCGCCACCCCTAGGGGTGAAACCCTAGGTGGGGGCACAGCCCCACCTCTCCCCCATATATACTTGAGGGTTTTTGGGGCTGCAGACAGATGAGTTTCACCTCTCCCAGGCGCAGCCCTACCTCTCTCCCTTCTCCTCTCTCGCGGTGCTTGGCGAAGCCCTGCAGGATTGCCACGCTCCTCCATCACCACCACGTCGTTGTGCTGCTGCTAGACGAAGTCTTCCTCAACCTCTCCCTCTCTCCTTGCTGGATCAAGGCATGGGAGACGTCACTGGGCTGTACGTGTGTTGAACGCAGAGGTGCCGTCCATTCGGCACTAGGATCTCTGGTGATTTGGATCACGACGAGTACGACTCCTTCAACCCCGTTCTCTTGAACGCTTCCGCTTAGCGATCTACAAGGGTATGTAGATGCACTCTCCTTCCCCTCGTTGCTGGTTTCTCCATACATAGATCTTGGTGATTCGTAGGAAAATTTTGAATTTCTGCTACGTTCCCCAACAACGAGGCCCTGGCCGCGCTCTCCCACCGCCCCGCTGACCTGCCCGTGGACTTCGCCGCCGCTGTCGGCCACGAGATCGCCGAGGAGGACGGCCGCGTCGTCGAGGGACAGGAGCAGCACATCCGTGTCCCGGAGGAGGGAGGAGATCGAGGGGCTCGAGCACGGCCGGCGAGCGGGGCAGCATCATCGCCTCCAGCGCCGGCGCCGCCTGCATCATCGAGGAGCCCGACCCCGACTGCAGCTGCTCCTCCGAGGAGCCCGACCCCGACTGTAGCTGCTCCTCCAAGGCGGCCTCCTCCTCGACGGGCGCCTCCTCCTCGTCGCTCTCCTCGTCGGCGCAGGTTCCTCGTGCCTGCAGCAACCCCAGCCGCCGCTCCCCTCTCCCTGACTTTGTCAGGCAGGGCCACGCGGGTCTTCCCTGGTGGCGGGATCCTGTTGCTGCCGCTGCCGTCCGTCTGCCACCTGCCGCTGCCTTCGCCCGCCACCTACTTCTGCCGCTGCAGCCCGCCCGATCGAGTCCGCGCGGACCAGTTGTTGCTGTTGGCGACTGCATCTGCTGCTGCTGTCGGCGACTGCCTCTGCTACTGTAAGGAGTTGCTCCTTGTGCTGCTGCTGCTCCTCCTGTTCCATCATCAATGGAGTTAAATGGATGTAAAATTGACAGTTCTTGATAAAAAAAATTGTATCAAGAGGCCACAAAAATTGTAAACTTCTCTGAAACATGAAAATTTTGGACTGATATGAATTTGGCCATGTTTGAGGTGTTTTGACAACTGAATTTGGCCATGTTTTGACACTGAATTTAAATGATGTAATATGCATATTACAAGAAGTTTCATAGAACAAATAAAGGTGCTTGTGAGGACAAGTTGTGTTCAGTCAACTTGATGTTCAGAACCTGTCATTTTCTATGTGCTTGTGAGGACAAGTTGTGTTGATCAGTGCTGGGATGCTAACACCACAAGAAAGCATGCATGCCATGTTCAGGCTTCTTTTTCTTAGTGCACATAGAAGTGGCGACTAATCACCACAAAATGGAGTGCGTAGGTTCACACTTGAAGCATGCATTTTCCATACATAGGCTCAGACTTGAAGCACGAAAATGTACTCCTGTAGGTTAGCAGGAAGAGCTTACATATGTTCCATATGGCAAGGGTGACTTGACACCATTACGAAGACCTCGCCGTACATCCGCTCGGTGCCGCACAACCTCCCTGAGAGCAGTGAGTGAGCGAGTGGCATCAGTTAGTGAGCTCAAAACCAGTTCAGTCAGTAGCAGGATGAAGAAGTGGAGTGTGACATCACTTGATGCACTAATTCAGTCAAAAGCAGAGTGAGCGAGGCAAATTCAGTAACCTACAATGTCCTAGCCCAATCTATATAAAAAAGTGACATCAATTTGTGCAATCCTAGCACAATCTATATTAAAAAATTGACAGCTTCAGAACATTCAGTTAGCTTCAGAACATCCTAGCACAATCTTTTCATTATCTCTGAATTTCTAAATAGTCTACATACTGCAAAAATTTGAGAAAACTACTGAATTATTGTTGTTTAGTCATTGTTTCTACTGTAGTTTTCAGTATTTTGTACAAGCTGAAAATTGATTGTGTTAGACTAGGAGTACTTGATTGTGTTAGACTAGGAGTACTTGATTGTGTTAGACTAGGAGTACTTGATTGTGTTAGACTAGGAGTACTTGCTTAATTCATCATGGTTTTCTTTTCACACTAGGAGTACGTGCTCAAATGAACAAGGAGTACTTTTAATTAATTTGAATTAGCTAGAATTATTTGAATTAGCTAGATTTATTTGAATTAATTTGGGATTCTTTGAATTAGCTAGATTTATTTGAATTAATTTGGAATTATTTGAAAGCCTAAAAAGCAAGCAGAGAGCAGAGCAGTGCAACCTCCTCTGAATGAAAATATCATGTCACTGGAAAGCCTAAAAAGCAAGCAGGGGGCAGAGCAGTACAAGAGTTGATTGATGTTTCTTCTGTTGAAGTTGCCATGTTTCTGTAAGGAATGGCCGTCATGTTCCTCTAGTTACCAAAATGAACAAGGAGACTTTTAATCTCTCAGAAGTCACTGAAGCATCTTTTAATAATTTGTAAGGAACAAACTTTTTGAAGGGAAGAAGATTGGTTTCATATAAAAGGTTTTCCTGAATAGACTTTTAAGCTCAGGGAGTAGCTCTAGGCAACACTATAATACATAATTTGGCAGGCCTCAAGTAAGAACTGCAGAACTATTTTGTCACCAAACTTAAATAAAATTTGGCTCCATATAAGATTTAAATACAAGAGCACTTTGGCTCCATATCATAGGAGTATGTAGCTCCATATGATAGGAGTATGTAGTCCAAAGCCTTCAATTCACGTAGTCCTAAAATTTCTACACGCAGATTGGACAAGCAATATTCCTAAAATTTCTGTAATTACAGTATATTTAATCAATGCAAATTAAGCACTCATGAAACAAGTCTATTTGGTCAATGCAACTATGTGGTGCTAGTGCCTTTTGTCTTTGTGGTTGGGCACAGTTTGGCACAATCTGGTCATCTAACCAAAACAAAAGATAGGCAGATGTCTTGAGATGCTGTACCGTATTCTGAATTTCTTTGAATTTCTTGAGATGTTGCAGATGGTACATGCTCTTTTAATTACTCCTGTATTTGAGAATCCAAACAGCTTTGCCTACGGTTTACACCAGGTCAAATGGTCAAAAAATTCAGTTTGCTGTTCCATGTAAATATTCAGAGTAATTCACAATCTTTTCTAACATGATATTTTCTGAATATTCAGAGTAATTCAGTTTGCTGTTCGGTTTACACTGGCATATGCACCTTGTTCGAAGACAAGATTTGCAAATTCGGTGAACATTCAAAGTCAAGACTGAACATTCAGTGTTAAGTGTTAACACAACACTGGCATATGCACCTTGTTCGAAGACATGATCAGTTTTTAGGAAAGACAAGATTTACTAATTCAGTTTTTAGGGAAGACAAGACTGAACATTTAAACTCTGGAAGCTGGCATTCAGCAAAGACTGAATATACAAATTCAGTTTTTAGGAAAGACAAGATTTACTAATTCGGTGAACACTCAGTCTAAACATTTCTGAATCTACACACACCTTGCTCGAAATTGATTTGCAGGGCATCCTGTTGGCTGTCTCCCTTCATCAACTTTGGGCTGGTCTTCTTCCTGGTGCACACGGTTCAAGCTGGCCCTACTGAACACAGCAATGCAAAGAGCATCAAGCAGTAATAGAGAGCAGAGAATGGGAACCCATGAAAGTGCAGAGTTTAACCTCTATTCAGCAAATGAAAGTAGCAGTACGAGGTGCTAGGCTGGATTAAGTAAACAGTCGACCTCTCTTGACGAACTCAGGGGTTAGGTCGACGGTCTCGACGGGGGTGGGTAGGAGCGCGAGCCTCCGGCGTGCTGCGGCGTCGCACACCTCCTCGAGCACCGTGACCAGCCGGCCCGTAGTGGAGGCGAGCGCGGCGCCGCCCGAGATGGCGGCGTTGGCGTCGACGGCGGCCACGGCCAGGCCGCTCGAGTTGGCGCAGCTGGACACGATTCTGCTCACCGCCTGCGCGGACGATTCCTTGGCCACCGTCTTCCGCCGCGCCCCACGCCACGGGGGCCGGGGCGGGGGTGGGAAGGCCGCGTCGCAGGCCGTCGGGCCGAGGGCCGGCCATGCTTCTTCCATCAACGCTAGGAGGGAGGGGGTGGCGGCGAGCAGGAGACGCGGCGGGAGGAAGAAGAAACAATTTTTTGGGTGAAAGAGGGAAGATTCGGAAGGCAGGCAAGGGAGGCTGGGGGGCTGCGCGAGGCAGAAGGGAGCGGCGGAGGAGGCAGCTGTGGCGGCGGCGGAGGACGCGCGGGAGAGCAGGGGAGTAGCGCGAAGCAGGGGATCTCCGGCGTCCATGCGCCTGTGTCGGAGCGGCGGAGTGTCGACCGGAGAAGACGAGGAGTGCGGGCTGTGTCGGGAATTAGCTGAGGGTGTTTCTGTAAAATGACCATGAGGACAACTTTTCCCGAACGGAGGAAGTATGACTATACGGCGCTTTTTACTACCACCCCGAGAGATGTCAATTCGGAGGATGCCTTTCAATGGCCTTGCGAACCGTCGGGCTCTTACACGGCCGGATCCACTTACGAGAGGCTATGCCAGGGGCTGGTGAGATCGAGCACAGCCACATGCATCTGGCGAAGCTGGACGACCCTCAAGTGCAAAATCTTTGCATGGTTGGCTGTGCAATACCGTATTTGGACATCGGACCGAAGAGCTCGACATGGGCTGCAGGATGCGCCTTCGGCATGCTATACGTGTATGCAGGAAGAAGATAATCTGGATCATATCTTGGCACAATGTGTCTATGCAAGGGAAATCTGGCACCAATGCTTTCTTATCATGCAGGTCAATGTGGAGATCCCACAGGTCCTTGACACCTTTCAGGAGTGGTGGTTGAGGACAGGAAGCAACTTCCGACAACCATACAAACGAGGGTTCGACACTTTTGTCATTGCTGTTGCCTGGTTGCTTTGAAAACAACGAAATGCAAGAGTTTTCAATAGGGCTGAGCAAGTGAGTTCCCCCATGAGGCTAGCTCAGCAAATACTAGAAGAGATCAGATCATGGAAGCTCGCGGGAGTAGGAGTGGTAGGCTTGAGTAGATTTGTGAGAGAGTAATTGTTTGTGTTAAAGGAGTTGGAGTCGGTGTGTATAATCTTATAAAATTTTTTGCTTTCTTCTATAAGAATATGATACGTTATTGACGTACTCTCAAAAAAAAACTATACGGCGCGTAAGCGCCGGCTTGGGAAAGTGGCGCCCAAAAAATCATCCGTGAACATGTACTTTACCTCACCTTGTGGGGCGGTCCAGGAATGCTCACGGGATTTGTAGCGCAAAAACCTCCAAAAAAATTGCTCCAACAAGGAATCGAGCTCGAAACAGTCAGTCAAAGACCGCAGTGCCTAACCACTCCAGCTACTATCAGCTATTGATTTATAACAGCGCGAAATATTTAAAACATAGCCCTCCTATTTCTTGCACATACATTTCAGGGGGAAAACGTGATTTTTTTGGAAACAGATCGAACAAAATTAAAGAAAATACGAATTAGAAAAAGGTTCATGTATTCAAAAAAGTTCATGGATTTTTCAAAAAGTTCATCGATTTTCTAAAATAGTTCATGGATTTTTTTTAAGTTCATTGATTTGAAAAAAGTTCATATATTTTGGAAAAAGCTCATCAAATTTGAAAATAGTTCATTGATATCAAAAAAGTTCATTGAAAAATGAAAAAAATTATGAAAAAGTTCATCAATTTGAAAAATGAAGTTCATAAAAAAGTTCACCCATTTGAAAAATAAGTTCACAACATTGAATTGTTTTCATCGATTTGAAAAATAGGAAGAAATAAACAAGGAAAGAAAGAAAAAAAAGGAAAAGCAGAAGTAATAAAAGAATGAGAAAGACAAACATTTTCGAACAAGGTATGCTAGCGGCGTGGTTAGTGCATTCCGCCTCGAAATGTCAGGTTGCCAGATGGACTCACGCCGGACGCACTTCTTTTGTGTTTTTGGAAACAGACGAAAAAAACTACAGATTAATACAAATGGGCAAGCCCAGTTAATACGGCTATAGGCGCCAGTTAGGAAAAATGGCCTTTAACGATTCTTAAAAAAAAAATGGACGCGTCTAGCGAGCGGCAGGGTGCTCGCTAGCGCTCGCGAGCGGCCAGGCAAAAAAGGAAACTGCCTGTCCCCCCTGTCCCAGGAAGGAAAGCGCTCACCCCCACCACTTTTCGGCCGCCTTTTTCCTGTCGAGAGCGCACAACAGAAACAGTCCCGAACGGCCGGCAAAAAAGAAAAATTTTGGTCCCCCGTACCAAAAAGGAAACCGACGGTCCCCCACGACCAGCGCGCACCAGGCGGGCGTCCTGGAGCGGCCAGCTCCGCCAACCGATCACGCCTCCACCCCAGCGCTACAAAAGCTCTCTCTCCTCTCCTTTCCTGTCCTTTCCTCCTTCCCCAAAGATCTTCTTTTACCCACGAAAAATGGTTGTCTGCTAAGGAAAACCCCTAGATCGTCATGGCAAGGAGAAGAAGCTGAGATCCAAACTGAGGAAATCAAGGGAAAAAGCTGCAACAAAAACCCTGTGAGTTTCCCCTTCTCATATCCCTCCCCTTCCCCTCTATGCATGTTGATCCTCCCTACCTGCTGTTCTCTCAACCTCCTTGTGGAGATCTTGTTACCAGCAAAAAAAATCCCCCAGACACTGAAGCCAACAGGCTCCCCTTTACAATGTGTTATGTATGAACTCCTGTACCATCTTTTGCATAGTATGTGCAATTCTGGGGGGTGAAAAAGACAGAAGATTAATGGACCATAAAACCAGCAAAAACATGTGGAACTAGGTGAAAACCTTCATGTGCCAACTTTTGCATACTATGTGCAACTAGAGAAGCCTTGATGTACCAACTATACTAGCAAACATGTGCAACTGTGACGGCTGTGGTTTTTGAAGTTTCTGGTTTGTAGCACTGCACTAGGTACTTGGTCAGCTCCGTAGGCAGCGTCTCAGCTACGTTCAGAAGACCCCCCGAATAGCCTCTCACACAAATTTGCTCCTTGCATTGGAGTCAGTTCTTTATTCAACTTGACAAATCTCCCTGGGGACGCCATTATCCTACCAGCCTGTGACGGGCAGTCTGGATTCTCTCCATTCATCTCAACTTCTGCGTTGACATTCTGGGTATTAAAAAAAGAACAGTTGAGTGAAAACTTGTGCAAGTATATAACTAACCATGCCAACTAAAAAAGGCTGGTGATACCCTTCATTTGATATTTTTTAAAATACAACTAGAAAATGAGATACTGTTGGATAATGTTGACGATGCCAACTAATGAGATATTCTTGTGCGACTAGAAATGCTGATGATGCCAACTAATGAGATATTCTTGTGCAACTAGAGAGGCTGAGGATGTCAACTACTTGGATAATGTTGTCCAACTAGAATTGCAGACGGTGCCAACTAAAGAGATACTCTTCTGCAACTAGAAAACCTGAGGGTGCCAAATCATTAGATACTGTTGGACAATCCCTCAAATTTTTTAAGATGGGATTAATCTGAATTCTTGTGCAACTAGAGAGGCTGAGGATGTCAACCACTTGGATAATGTTGTCCAACTAGAATTGCTGAGGGTGCCAACTAAATAGACACTCTTCTGCAACTAGAAAATCTGAGGGTGCCAAGTCGTTAGATACTGTTGGGCAATCCTCAATTTGTTTTAGATGGGACTAATCTGAGTTCTTGTGCAACTAGAGAAGCTGAGGATGTCAACTAGTTGTATATTGTTGTGCAACTAGAATTACTGAGATTGCCAACTAATTAGATACTATTCTGCAACTAGAAAGCCTGAGGATGCCAAGTTGTTACATACTTCGGGCAATCCTCAATTTTTTATAAGATGGGACTAATCTGAGTTCTTGTGCAACTAGAGAAACTGAGGATGTCAACTAGTTGTATATTGTTGTGCAACTAGAATTACTGAGGTTGCCAACTAATTAGATACTATTCTGCAACTAGAAAGCCTGAGGATGTCAAGTCGTTACATACTCTTCGGCAATCCTCAATTTTTTTTAAGATGGGACTAATCTGAGTTCTTGTGCAACTAGAGAAGCTGAGGATGTCAACTAGTTGTATATTGTTGTGCAGCTAGAATTACTGAGGTTGCCAACTAATTAGATACTATTCTGCAACTAGAAAGTCTGAGGATGCCAAGTCGTTACATACTCTTGGGACAATTCTAAAAAACTTGAAGATCACAATTCTAAAAAACTCTTGTACAGATCAACACTCCAATCATCAAAAATTCAAGCATCATACCAGAGATTGGCTAGCAGGATCACAAAAGTGATGCATCTGTACAAATGAATTTGACTGTTTTTCCTAGAAAAATACCTAGAAGGGGTTGAGTTAACAATCTGTGAGAATGAAAATGTTGTTAATATTTCACTACTAGTACTATTTGGGTAAGGTAGCAGACTATACACGCATAAGTGGAGGTGGATTAGATGACTGAATGAAAAACTATCGATAACATAGATGAACTGCATAGACATCAAAAGTCTGATTGCTCCCATCAATATCTGGTAAGATAAGATTACAACTGTTAAGCTACAAAATTTGCATTTTCTACTTCAGCTGCCATAGAAACCCAAGTTGAATCAACATCGCAAGTAAATTTTCCAAGTCTAAATATCATCGCTTGTGCAACTGGTTAGCCCTTAGTGTGCAACTTCATAAGTTGGCTAGCCAACTGAGATATGTATATGAGTCATCCAACTACGTTTGCGTTCCTGTGCAACTATTACAACAAACTAGCCAACTAGTTACTTACATGTGGCAACTTACGAGAAAACAGAGAAACCACACAGATGCATTTACAAGAAAAAAAGAGGTACATAATGTAATGAAGCTCTAGAGAGAGTATCATGTTTAACGGGACAATTGTAGTCTAGGCAAAAATAGATGGATCAAGATAGGATGCTGAACCATATCAATAGTTGCGAAATTAGAACAACCCGCCGCGAAAATCCAACTCAACCCTAATCGCTGTACAAACTCACCACTAATCCTAATCACCATAGCTCCTTGAGCAAGATGCCGAAAGTACTGTACATATGCGGACGAGAGTATGCATGCTTCTAGTTTACAAATAGTAGTTGGTCGAGCTTACAATGACCCGCGTCTAGCTAAATTGAAGTAAGCAATGTGAGAGCTAGATTCATCTAGCCAATTTAGTATTGTTGTGTTGTGTAACTGCTTGATGGTCATATCCAACTAAGAACTATTATGTGTGCAACTACAACTGCTACACATGCCAACAAAAAAATATGAATAGCAAAATAGATCA